GACCACGTGTCACGGGAGGGAAAATGGCCGCGGATCCTGTTCATCACCCGATCTGGCGTTCGCGAACGGAAGCAAAATTTTGCGAACGGTGCTGTTCGTGACCCGAATTGGTCGTGAACAGAAGCGTTCGTGACCTGAGGTACCACTGTAGTTAGGAAACTAAAATGCACAGATATAGAATAACAGATCACTGGTTTGTGAGAAAGATATTAGAATAGTAGCTGATTTCAAAGTAAATATGTGTCAGTAGTGTGCTATGGTTACAGAAAAGGGAAATACCATTTTAGGATGCATCAACAGAAGTATAGTTTATAGACTACACAAAGTAATAATTGTATTTCATTCTGCTTTAATCAGAATGTACCTTGAATTTTATGTCCTATTCTGGGCACCTCACATTAGGAAGGATTCAGACAAAATGGATCAGGCGCAGAGAAGAATTATCAAGGGGGTAAAAACTAAGCCATATGTGGACATTGAAGGAACTGGGAATGTTTAGAACTTGAATAATTGCACCTAGTTTAAATCTGCTGGTTTCTGGATTGCATTTTTTAATTAGTCAGTACAGCATCCTGGGGGAAAAACGATTGAGAAAGTAAATTGAGAAAATGTTACTCTGAACTAACAGATGTAAACATATAATGTAGAATTCTAAAAAACATAGTTAAGCATACTAGCATTATTTTATGTCTTAATTGATATTCTTTATTGATATGAAATAATCCTGGCAGTCTGTTTGGATAAACTATTGGAATGAATTTCAGCACTGATATGTCTAAATTACATTCAAAAGTAAGAGCAAATGTTATTAAATCAAACTGGCTGCAATCTGTGTCAGAGTGAATGGATTGAAATAAAAAAGGCTTGTTCATTACTAGGAATTGCAATGATATATTTTAAATTGACATGCAATTACTTCAGCTGTGGTGAGCAACATCTGCTACTGCTTCCTGTGATGGTGGCCTGTGGCTCTCCCATGTAGGCATCATCAAAGTCTGAATATACATTTCAGAAATATGTCTCTATAAAACTCCTTTCGAAATGATATGTTCCTCTTTTCTACAATGTCTTGAAGCACTCAGCTACCAAACACAGCTTCTGATATGTTTGTCTTCATAACTCCTCTTTTTTTTATGGCTTGGCATAAGCTGAACTATCAAACATACATATAGCATTTGAGATGCATCACTGCACTGTTATTGATAAGACAATTAAATTTTTAAATACTGCCAATAAAAATATAAATTAGTTAAAACAAACCCTGCCTACAGGCTGACAGTCTTAAAGTTCAAGGAATGATAGAAAAAATAAAGAGTCATGTGAAGTCTTCCAATTTATAGTGTCATTGCCCACAATAACAGCTTTAGCAAACTCACTAACATTAGTTTCCACAAAGCTACCTGTTTAAATTCTGCTTTTCCCTTGTATTTTCTAATTTTTCCCAAGACTTCCATTCTGTGGAATGTTCTGTAAGTAAAAGCTTGCTTCTGCACATGGATCTTTCACGATAACTAAATTGTTATAATGGTTTAGGGACAGCAAATGACACTAGATAATGCAAGAATTCAGCTGTCATATGCCATAATTTTGTATAGAAAAAGACTATAAATTGAATCTTAGGGATTTCCTTATTAGTTCGATTTTCTTCTATTTCAATTTTTCTTCTGAAGGTGTCACATTCTCCTGTTGGCTCTCAGCTTTGAGAGCTGACTTTTAGCAACTACCCTCTCTGCTTTTAGGAAATTTCTAACAACAATTTTCTTCTGACAGACTTTTAATGCTCAAGAGTTTTATTCTTCATGTTTTAATTTTCTTTTTTTTCTTACTTTCCTGCATGTTGTTTTAAATAGTAAGATGCTTTGAGTGTTCCTCTTAAACAAAAGAACAGTGTACACCCCCAATATCTGGTGTTCTTTACCAGTCCATCTGTATCAGTTCAAACAAAAAGTTAAAAGGCTAATGTTGGAATCCCATGGTCTCTGAGGGAATACCTAAGATCTGTGGAGTCCTTGGGATTCTCTGGGCTTGGCTGTTTTCTTGCTAACGTTTCATTACCCAGCTAGGTAACATCTTCAGTGCTAGAACGGAATACCTAAGATCTGTATGGGTTTTCAGGTTTCATCCTCCAAAGTTCAAGGAGATAAAGGTGGGAATCAATTCACTATTCCCTGTCAGCCCAGCCCATCCTGCTATTTTTTTTCACTGAAAATTCAGTTATTGGAAAGAGGCAAAAATGTGCTAAGGGAATACTAAGCTTACGGGGCAGGGGAGATAATGTAGACCCATTATATCCAAAGTCTTTCCAGTTTCCTGAGATCTGCCCAAATGGGCACGGGTTGGCTCCTTCCATTGGTTTCAGTGACAGGAAATTCCTTTTAAAAATAAATGGCCAGATAAGGGAGGAATGGCAACAAAACCCATTTCTCCTTCACTTCAGTCATCCTGCGAGCAAGAATACAATCAGGCTTTAGTGACCTCAGAAACTCTTGTTTTTTTCCAATATGGCAGCTATGAATTACCTTCTCTAATGTTTATCAATATTTATGTTAATTAAATTAATTAAACAATACCCCCACCCCCATGTCTTCCACTGATAAACTACTGTAAAGGTTGGAAGTAACAATCTGCATTTAACTATAGCTCCTACTTGTAGATGTGTATAAAACAGAGGTTTTCAACTCAGGCAGCTCTGAAGTAATTTTAAAATGCCCTAAGAGTAGCATGTGCTTCTGCTCAGACTGAGAGCTTTTCTTGTTTATTTGCAGAGATAAAGCTAAGGTGCCCTTGTCATCTACTTGCTGCAAAGAGATGCATCTTGGTGTAACAGATGATGAGTGAAAGGGTTGTTTAGTCTAAAAGCTGGAATTTATTCAAGGAGCATAGAGGTGTGAGGTTGGAACAAGTATTCATTCATCCATGCAAACCGTGATGCTTCCTAGAGAGACAAACAATTTTTCAAAAAAGGCTAAAAATGAAGAAAATAAGAATTAGCATAATTTTACTGGATCATTAAATGTATAGTAATAAAGCTAATAAAAAGCTGTGGCAAAACAAATATTGTTTGAAGAATTCTGATATTTTGCTCTCTCAAATCTTTAATGAATGAAATGTTGATTTTAACAGATTATAGATATGAACAATCTTAAAGAATTTCATTTGACTTTAAGAAGATTAAAACATCCTGTTATCTCAACCATACTCAAACTGGAAGAAAAGAAAAAGATTAAACAGAAGAAATCAAGGTCAACAGGGAAGGGTTAGTTACCTAACTTCTATAACAAGTGCCATTTCTACAGTACATACAGATTTCTGAAAATTCTTTCACTTTGATATCTGATGGTTATATTCTCTTATTCATCCAAATTTTATCCATTTAAGATTGTTGTGTTTAAGCTTTAATGTTACATACAAATGTTTGCATGAAAGTTTATGATAAAAAGACTAGATAAATCAACATAATCAGCATTTTTACGTGCAGTGTATCAGGAAGAGATTGTTAATACATTTTGTTTATAAAATGACAGGCATTTTGCAAAATTAGCAAAATTAGTTGGGACATATAAAACTGGAAAAAAAAAAGTTGTGTTATCTCTATGTATGGCCCAAACTTAGATATGACCTGCTATTCTTAGAACAAATTTCCTACACAAGGCAAGCTGCTGGCCAAATATTTATAAGCTAGACTTCACACAAATGCACACAAATGCAATTTAATAAATTGCAGGACTGACTAGGAAACATGTGATTCTGCATATATAAGAATCTGTGCTTTCCTGGGGAAAGGCTACTTTGATTTAAGGAGTTGTTGAAATATGCTGCTTGCATGCCCATCTCTCTCCAAAGCACTTTGTTCCCCCAGTCCCAAAGAGGTTAGTATGATATGCCATTGTCAATATGGGGAAAATAATTGTGAATGCTGAATGACATCCCAGAACTATTCCAGTACTGTGTTCTTTTATTTAAATAGATATAAATGCATTCTTTTTTGCCAATTTTTAAACTTTATTTGAGTGGGTTTTTTTTTTTTTTAATTTACCAGTGATGTTAGGAAAATGTAATGCTGATTTTCAAATGGCATCTGGGTATCTCCTGTCTTGTATGAATCATCAACAGCCAAGCAACTTCATTATCAATAGCACTATTCAAGCCCTGTTAAATATGAACTGGCAATCGAATATGAATTTGGCTACAACATACTAAACATTTAAGGCAAGATAAAAGTTGTAAATCAGATGTATTCATATCCTTACCATATCATGGTATTTTATATTATTTCTTTAATTTTTATGCCATTATCTCTCCTGAGGCAGCTCAGAGTAGGGCCTAAACTGGAGGACATTATCTAAAGATATTTATGTCAAGTTACACTTTATGAAGCACCTGCATGTCTTTATGAAGAATATCATAGATGCTTTTACAGTGAGTGATATATTCTAAAACCCAAGTCTTTTGCTAAAAGCATTTCTGTGGACTTCAGACAGCATCCATTATGTTGTTTCATTAATAAAATAGCACACAGGATTAGGTGTTAAGATCTTTCTGATAACCCAACAGGCCACACCTGTTTAGTAGGACAGCTAGTTAGCTTTAACTGAAAATCAGGATTTAGGAGGAATGTAATTTGAAGAGCTGGAACAGAATAAAAGTTAATAAAATACAGGTTTACTTGCCCTTGGCGCTATCTGAAATGATGTTGTTTGGAAAAAAATTATCAAATATTGATGATAACTAAATATTTTGAATATTTTGAAAAATAGCCTCCAAAAATTGGATTTCAGAAAGTCTTTAGAGGACTATTGGGATCTCTGGGTCCTTGTAGGCCATTGTACAAGGTGGCTTCAAATGAAAAGATTAACTAAATTTTAATTGACAAGAAATATCATTATTACTATATAGAACATAGTTATTTTAATTTGTTTTTAGTACATTACAGAGCATAAAAATGGCTATTGTACAATGTGAAATTCATTATTAATCTTTTATGTTGTGTTAATGAAGAGAAAAATCTATGCATGCAAATGGGTTTCTTCTCTGTTTAGTTATGCCAGTGCAGTGATGAGAAACATTACGGGGCAAGTTTATAGTTACATTTTCAGTTGCATCTTCACTGATACCAATTATGTTTAGTGCCATCTTTGCAGTATATATAGTTCATTGTGGCATATCAATATTATATTATGACAATGAAGAAAAAAATTCAATAAAATAGCTAAAAACATTAATTCATGAACAGTGTTTGGCAAAGATGTAATGTACATTTTGTAATTTTCTGTGACTTTTTTTTCTTACAGGGTTATTTTCTTACAATTTGATTTATGGCTTACCTTTTCTACCCCCTAAGAATTCTTTCTACCTCCCCTTGATAACTTTGATGATCTTCAGAACAGTGGCTTATCTTTAGTAGTGCTTTCATTATCTGGAACACTGCATTTCTACAGGCAAAATCTGGATAATAGCCTGTTTAAATTTAACATCTCATATCCTTTTCTCAGGAGGAATATCTAAAAGTTTTGTTTTTTTTTTTGTTACTTTGGTGAACCGCTACTACTGAAATTTATTATCCTCATCGTAACTCCAAATGGTGGACACAGTTAAAATAATAACCAGACTTCTGGTTTAAGTTTTCAGGCAGAGGCATAGAACAAAATTGTGTTTCTACAAAAGGAATATGAAGCTGTACAGCAGTTAGTTAGTTAGTTAGTTAGTTAGTTATTGGTTAGGCTCTTAAAACTTCCAGTAGACCGGTGTTTCTCAACCTTGGCCGCTTTAAGCTGCATAGACTTCAACTCCCCAGAATTCCCCGCCCCCCTCCCGGCGGGGGGTTGTTGGGGTTTGTGTTGAAGCATCTTTTCAGTGCGCAAAGTTGGTAAAAACAGGTCGCTGGGTGGG